CCTTGTGACCTTGGCTGTGACCCGTATGCTTAAAATATATTTTTTTGAACCTTCGACATAACTTTTGAGCCATAAAAGATAAAGACCTTGTATTTGGTATGCCCCCTTCTGTGATTAAACACTTTCAAATAACACCAAAGTCATTGACCTTGTGACCTTTACTGTGACCTATATGCTAAGAATAGCCTTTTTGAACCTCTGCAATAAATTTTGAACCATAACATATATAGACGCATATTTAGTATACATACTCCCTTAATTAAGATGTTTCAAATGACACCGAGATCAATGACCATGTGACCTTGACTGTGACCTATATGCTAATTAAAGTTTCATGATGTTCAACATAATTTTTCTATCTGTATAAAGAATAGCAGAAGTAGCTAGATCTTACTGACCCTGTGGCTTGCGATTGATTCGTATGTTCCCCAGCACAGTTTATTAATTGTTAGATTCATAGATCATTATTTCTCTCAATTACCAATTTATGTAGTACTATTGTGTTGCCCGAATATTGCTGCAGCACAACCTGAAGTAATATATGTCCATCAATGGCTTTGCAGCAACATTTTTAGGCAATATTGCAGCAAATCTAATATACATACGAAAAACGATATTGCAGCAATATTACCACAATGTATTGCCAGAATGTTGCTACAATATTGCGGCAATAATGCCAGAAGGTGTTGCTAGAGGGTGAAAATTTTGGAAAGGAAAAAACATGATAAAAGTCAGCTTATGTGATATGACTTATTTTTTTAGATTTTATTTTTCCTGATAAATAATATTTTTCCTCCAAAAGCACTGGAGTACTCTTTTGTCAATGATGTAACCATACCTGTCATTGGTTTTAAATTTTAGGAACTAATGCCAATGACAGTACATTTGAAACACGTATGACGTATAAGTCATGAAATTATCTGGTACATTTATCTCTAAATGACCCCGGAGAATGAAAAAGTGTCAACATTGTTATAAGATCATCCAAATAACGTTTCGTATAAGAGTTTAATGGATATCTAAAATTGTTATGAAATGACGATGAAAATCGTTCTAGTCTACTTTCTTTACTCAAGATGTCCATTATGTGTTGTGATCATGAATATCAAGAAGCAGTTTAGTTATGTTGTGTTCGCTGAGAAGTAATATCATATGACTCAGACCTGTTTATAATGTCTTCTTCTTTGAAAAGGAAAACTAGTAATAAAAACAATGACACAGCTTTCTTGTTCACTGTTATTAAATACTGTAGGGTAAATGGAACACGTTTCTCATTTTTTTTATTCTTAAATATTTTTAGGGAAAAAAAATCAGACCATTTTTGGCATATATATCCTTGTTTGAATACAAAAATTCTATTGACAGTGTAACCTTTTACCGATTGGTGTAATATAAATTATCCATTGATATAAACAAAATTAGTTATATGAAAAGTTGTATTAGTCATAGAAGGTATGGGTGTCATAGATTCTAAGGTAAAAATTTAAAATGGAGAGAAAATAAAATATAAGATTTCACAAAAAGAAAACTTTAACTGTTTTTTTTCTTTTTTTAATTGACCCTTATAAGGAATTGGGGTGTGAAGGATCTTCTAAAAACCAATGTCCAATATATTGTTTGATATAATTCGATTCAACTTGCCACTTTCTGTTTTTCCCAGTGGAAATCATTTTTAATAAGCCCCTTTTTCTGACTGGTTTCAATTTCACGTCCGGGTACAGTTGAACCAGCAGCTACAATTGTATCTATCCCGACTATTAAAGAAAAACTTCGTCACGGATTTGTGTAGATGAACGATATCACTAAACCTTGACACTTAAAGATGCTTTCTCCTGTTGATTGTCTATGATTGTAATGCTAAATGAACTTCTTCGATTACAAACTACCAACTGTTACAATACATGTAAATGCAAATGAATGATTTAACAAAGGCAGTGTTGAGTGGAATATCCCTTTGCAAATAAAACAAGCAATTAATCAAAATAGCTTTGTTTGAAACTAATTGCATTATTATCTATGTCTTTTTTTTCTTTTCTTTAAGAACTGAATTATAAACTTTATTGACGACGCATATACATTGATATAAAGTAAACAAATTGAAAGTCTGGACTGTCTTACCATGACGAATTTTAATTTAATTTGTGCTTTCTGAAGTGTTTTTGTCATTGTATGATTTGTTTTTATCACTATATGATGAGCTTTTGTCATTATGAAGTGTACATTTATTATTACATGATGTACTTTTGCCATTATGTGATGTGGTTTCGTTATTATATGATGTACATGTACGTTTGTCAAAACGTAATGTGCTTTATCGTTATGTGGTGTGAAGTAGTCATTTTATGGTGTGTATTTGTCATTATATTTCATTATAGCGTGTACTTTCAAAAGCTATTACGTCGTGTTCAAAAGTGTTCATGTGTGGTGCAAAGATCTTTTTAGTGATGTGCAAATTTTATCGTGATGGAAACATCTTCCCTCTACTCTTACAACGGTAGATGATTTAAAAAAGAAAATCAGGTATTAATAAATCATTTGAAAATATCTACTTATTCAAAAAATAATTAAAAGGACTAAGAAACGTTTTTTCCAAACACAAGTTTTTACTAATGAACGGGTCGGTTGCCTCCCCCTTTTTGTGTATTATAGTCATGTAAGGGTTATGTGGTAGTTTATGAATAAATTGTGTACTAAAGAAATTTCTCCAGCCCCAGCACCCCCCCCCCCCTTCAGGAAATATATGATTTTCAAGTTTGGTATCCCCTGTTTTGTCTTTTTTATGCGCCCCACAAGATTTAGAGACTACATATTTGGTATGCATACTCCACTAACAAAGTTCTTTCAACTGACACCAAGGTCAATGACCTTATGGCTTTTTCGAACTTTGTTGCCATCGTACGCATTGTGTTTCACAAACACATCTTGTTTTTCAGTAAGTTTTTTTTTTCTACCCCTCCCCCTTTTTTTCTCTGAAATTAACAGCATTTCCATTTTTTCTATTTAAACATATCAAGACAACAAAAACGTCAAACAGATGTCATGTTTGAAGTGATTGGTTTTTCCCCTTATACTTATCGTAAAATTTCTGAAATCTCTTTCTTGAGTGGATCTGAAACTTTACATAAACTTCCTGGATCTGCAAATGTAGTATTTAAGTAGATAATACGAATATCAATGGTGATTGTCCACTCTGAAAGAAATTAAAATCAATAAACTTTAAAATCAAAATGTATTTCATAGAATTTATCAAAATAATACAGAAATATTTCAAACAATAAAAATATGTTTGATATAATTTAAAAAGCACATTACAAAATGAAAAAAAGGCAACATAATGATTTTGATTTTATGATGATTAGACAGTTCAGGTGTTTCATTCATACAGGTTCTCAGCAAATGCAATAAGTATTAAATCCTTCATTTTGGGCTTCAGCGTTTCCTTAAAAAATATTTAAGTTGTAACCAATTTTATCCAATTTTACAACCATTTTATACGTTAATAGATATCATGCTGTTTTATACTGCTAGAATAATTTATTACGCTATGTATTGTGACTTCAATAAAAAGAAAAGAATCGACAAATATTATTTATTTGTATCTCGAATATGTATACGATGATTGTCCAGTAAAATTGTGGTCAAAGCATTTTCTCGAAAACTAATCGGCCCATTAAGCTGAAAATATCAGTAAATATTTATTTATCATTATAAGTGCATCACAATTTTTTTATGATATATAAATGTATACAAAAAAGGAGATTTTATTATAGCTGGTTGTGCACAAGCCGGATACGGTCCTACGGGCTACGGTCTGATAAGCAAGGTTATATTAGAGAATACACGAGTATTAATTCGAAATTAAGGTTTTAAATACATAAGGTTGTGATAAAGAAATATCTTACTTCGATTCTACAGTCAATTTTTTTCATCTTTTTAAAAATTTCAAGGCATTTTCTAAATTTTTGGCAGTTTCAAGAATTTTCAAAATGGGAAAGTGGTGAATAAAACACAAGAAAAATGACGTTTGATGACGTAGCAGCATATAGGAGAGCAATTCATTTGATTTACATGTTGTAATGAAAACATATATGTGTATGAATAGAAACAGATCTTTAAGTATAAAAAAAATATAATCGAATTTTTTTTTATTTTTTAAGCCTTTTTTGATCAAGGCCCCTAGTTGTAGAAAACATACGGACAAACTGCTAATAATAGTAAAAGACGCTATCACTTTTGACCGAGATAGAAGATTGTCCATTATTTGAATGATGGCTATAATACTGTCTGCAACTTACGAATAAATCTTCAGAAGATCGCAAAGAAGACATGATAAATTTGGTTCTCTTATGCTCGTAGAGACTCAAGTATGTGTATGAAATGAAATTCTGAAATTTATGGACTTATCTAACTTTATTTGTAGAAAAGATGAAACGCGACGCTGTTTTTGACACTGTGACGTTATTGTCCATGCGACAAAAGACAAAAGACAATAATTAATAAAACACATAACATAAAACCTCATTATATGTAAATTTAATCATACATGTATATCTACTGCAGTATTTGAAATTCTCTTTATATATTCTTAATATATGTACTGAAGAGTGAAAAGTAGTGAACATTTTGTATCGCAGTGGTGATAATTTTTCACACTAGACAGCTTGTCTACGGTTTTACCGTACTGTGAAGTATATGTGAAAGAGGCATTTATTTATGTATAATAATGTTTTTGTTTTCCTAAAATAAAAGAAGGAAGCTCAACAAAAAAATACACTTCCGTGAATGTACATGACTTTTGTTAATTTGTACATGTACTAACGAAGCTCTTTTTCCATGATATCATTAGTGATATAATTTTGCTAACAAGGTATGTTTTTAACTTTATATATATTGCACGTTTTTGGTATTATGTGTAAACGGAACAGATGGTTCACAGAGGTTGCGAACAGGATTTTACTCATATTTTACTCATATTCTTGTGGTTCTAGGGGTGTCCTTGTTATACGTGTTTTTCCCTGTTCACACTCTGGATTGTTCAAAGGACTAAGGAGACAGATCTCTGTATGTAATTTTTTAAGCTTATTAATCAATAAGTCATGATATATCTTTCGATAATTATTTTGATTTCTCGGGAAAATTGACAAATGAAGATATATTTATTAAACGTTATTAAACGTAGCATTGTTTTTGAAAGTGAGGTAATTCGGACAGTCATACCAAAAAAGACTTACCTGAAAAAAACAAGCAAAAACAAAAAACAACAAACAAACAAAAAACAAAAAGTAAAACATTTCCAAAATTAAAAATCCTATTTCATAGGATGGAGTGAAGGGGGAAGGATGTAGATCCTACTTCTCTCACTATCAAATGTTCAAATAAAATACTAGCCCCGTGTGGATCCAGGTTGGAATAGATCCTCAGTACCCCTTGCTTGTCGTAAAAAGGCGATTAAATTGGGCGGTCGTTTGCGTGAGACCGTATAAACCGGGGCTTCGTGTCACAGCAGGTGTGGCACGATAAAGATCCCTCCCTGCTCAAAGTCCGTAAGTGCCGAGCATAGGCCTAAATTTGCAGCCCTTCACCGGCAATGGTGACGTCTCCATATCAGTGAAATATTCTGGAGCGGGATACAGTATACAATCAATCAATCAATCATAAAATACTAACATAACACCTGTTTTACTTAAGGTTAACAAAAATAGGGGTGAAGAATGAGGAAGGCGGCCTTTCAATGAACATATATATATAGTATAGAAATATGAGGCAGATGAATATTAAAAACTCCCCATTCCCCCTCCCGACCCGCTTGTTACTACGTGCCTGATGTTTGTTTAAGTTATCAACAACGTGTCGCAAATACTGAGTTACCTGAACTGTTCCTAATACAGTAGTAGTGTTATGGCATTTATCATATCTTCGTGCTTCAAGAATGCTTCTATAAGACTCCTATAATCTTATTAAGGACTATTATGTGAACATTATTACCAAACATGTAACTCATATTTCATTCGTGTATTCCTTGTGACATGACCTTTCCTTGGGTACCAAATTTGACCTTTTGATCTTGAGCATGGAGTTGGACACACTTTTACACATATATTCCAAACTTTTACTTTGAGCATATCTTTTAAACAGTAGAAAGCAGGAATTTATCCTTCCCATATGTATTCTTTGATAAAAAAAAAAAACACCTTTCATTGGATACCAACAACCTTGACAATTTGACCTTGGAAATATCCGTACTTCTGAAAACAATTTAACCTTGGCCATAACTTTTGAACGGTAACGGGTATGGCTTTCACACTTCACATATGTAATCCTTGTGAAACAAACCTTCATTGCATACCAATAATATTGGCCTTTTGACATTGACCTCAAAGTTGATCTACTTTCCAAAGGCAATCCGTGACCATTATTTCTATAAGGTTAGGATCAGTGCTTTCATATTTTACATATTGAATTCTTATGATAATTATGACCTTTCATTTGATAGCAGGACCTTAGACATCTTGACCTTGGAGTTTGGCTTACTTTTAAAAAGTTTAGAGATTGGTCATAGCTTCTGAAAGATTGGGGCTAGGGCTTTTATACTTTATTCATGTATTTTATGTGCCAAGACATTACATTGGATGCCTTCAACCTTGACTTGTTGAACTTGACCTTGGAAATATCCGTACTTGAGAAAACTTGGGGCTGTTTACGTTTTTTTCAAAACCGCTGCGCGGTTTATGAAGCGTCAACTGCCCTAAGTTATGTTATATCGAATAACATAAGTTAAAATAAGCTTCATTCCTTAAATATTCAATGGCCGTATAGAAAGGATTTATATTGGAAGAGAAAAGCGTAAAAAAAAATTGTGTTACAGGCATTAGGATAGTTAAAGAATGAGATAAGGGGGGTGGTTTGAAGATGAAGATCTCTCAGAAAGATCTTTAAATAAAAGAGGGAGACTTTTAATGTTTACATTTGTCTAAACATACATTTGGCTTTTAGTCCTCCAAAAATACTTTAAAAATAATTATCGTACAGATCACCTGGGAATACTCATTTTTTCCTTTTATTTTTTTTTTTATTGAAAAGAAACAAAACGAATTTAATGACTACAAGCCATGCTTGTACAAATGCATGATTTAGTCACTAACGCCTACAGTATAATAATTTCTCTCACATGGTACTATATTTATATATTAAAAAGACTTAAAAATGTCACGCCCCGATCTGAACCAAAATGGTGATTTCAAAATTTAGAACATACGGGTGTACAAAGTGTCAGTTTATTTATTGTAGACCTGAAGATAAATCTAATTCGGGCGGGTTTAGGATTTAAGAAAAAAAAAACATGTACTACACTGTAGTTGTGCTTACATGTAAATTCTTAAAAATGTCAAACTTACATTACCTCATTTGTGATATTTTTCTTATATCTTCAGCTTGAAGTTGACCAGAGTTGAAACTTTGATTCATCATTCAGAGGATAACAACATTATTTTTAAAAACTTTTTCTCAACAAACCAAATTCAAGTAAGTTACCTAGTATATGTTTATACGTCACCTATATTTTTTACAGAATACCTCGTCGACACTAGTACATGTACTATAATCATTGCAGGAAATATTATCTTTGATTGAATAATTCCTGCCGTTCTTATTGGCTGAGTTCTGTAACCCTGCTTCTCTAGATCTCTTTTAATTGGGAAGGACTTCAATAAATGGCAATAACTAATGCAGTGTATCATTTAATCATTGAATCATATTATTATACAAATATGGACTCAATGTAGGTCAATATGCATTTATAATGACCCAGGATGACAGATATTGACCGAGGATACATGTATTATATCGACCGAGGGTGCCGGCCCGAGGTCGATATACTTCATGTATCTGAGGTCAATATCTGTCTTCCTGGGTCATTATAAATGCATATTGACCGTGCATTGAGTCCATATTTATTATATTAGATAAATAATAATTTCAATTTCTTTTAGTACAATGTATATCTTCCTTATGTTTACAGAGATAGTATTAACCATAAATAAGTTGAATGTAAATGTTTCAGAATTCATTGAATATCATTCATTATTAAATGATAAGAAATTTTGGTGCTCTCTGATTGGTCTAGACGCCATTTACTGGTGTGTACCTCAGAGTGAGTTCACCTCATATGACGTTCTGGGAGGTTTATTCGGGTTTTCCCTCTCGACCAACCATAGATTTGCTTACAGCTTTTTCGACCAATCAGATTGCGTGTTTCAAAACATGTGTCGGTGTGAATGTAAACATGTCAGACGCCATTACAAAGGAGATTACGAACTTTTGAAAGTAAAAGGTTGAGTATTTATTGTTTATTAATATTGTTTTTAACTTTTTAACTAATATTTGTTTAGCTGTTGAAGTATATCAACATGTAAAAAGTGTAATTACACTTTACATTATGGATGTTTATATTTGATGGAGACAAGAATGAAAGAGTCAGCAGTGTTGTAAAATTCCTCATCATTTAATAAAACGGTTATTGACTTTAGAATGCGGTCTACTCGTGACTATACAGACCTGGTCAGGTAATGGTTAACCTCGGCCTTCGGCCTCGGTCAAACAATACCTGACCAGGTCTGTATAGTCACGAGTAGACCTCATCAAAAGTCAATAATTGTATAGAGGAAATTGTTTCGGTAATAAATTTTAACCCATATCATAATAATAAAGCAATATATCTATCTCCGAATAACACAGAATATCCCCTCCCCCAGATTGAGAATCGCACTCGTTTACACTTGCAGAGGAAATGCACTCACAAAATATAAATACCCATGTCTTCTAAGATAAGATACAATCTTACATGGCATGCTTGTCTTTATTTTCTTTAGTCTCCGTAATCGCGTAAACAACGTCAAAACTCTGCTCGCCGAGTGGAAAAGTCGAACTCAACCATTAAATGGTATGTGGTAATTATTCCCGAAAAATGTTGACAGATATTCTTGTAATTGTTTTGTATTATCAACCTCAGAGTTCTTCGCTATGTCTTTTAAATTTTTCTTACCTACAACTTCCATGTTTGTCTAAAGCGAAAGTGAAAACGAGGCAGCTCGTGCGAGTCATTATTCGCTTTCAGCGGTCGTTATTAAAAAATAAGTACTTCGTACTGACCAATCAGATTATTGGATTTCACAAAGTTATATAATATAAAACAATAATTGCTGTTTTTTTTCAGTTAATACGATGATTTAACCACCCCAGGAGAACAATATTCATCGAGCCCGGAGGCAATAGTTGTAATACATTAATTATAAAGCTAATACATAGTCAATAATAATAAAGCAGTTAAAATAGAGAGAGCAAAGTAGTTTTCATTCGCTTAGCCTTTATTGAATGATAACAGAACAGCCGTTAATTAAAGTACCTAAAATGTACAGTTCCTATTAGTTCGAGTCATTTTATTGAAATATTGATATAAATCAATAGCAAGCGCGTCCATTTGTACAGCCAACTCATACCAGTTTTCACCGATGTTAGTTCAATGATCCTATAAAATATTCAGTTTATTATATTATATATATATATTTTTTTTTTTTACCTTTTTTCATGGTTTGGATGGAGCCTTAATCTTCACTGATTTTTATTGAAATTCAAATTTCACTCAATCCCCGCTTGAAGCAGCTGTACAGATATGACACAAAATCTTATCAGGAATACATACATTTTTTTTATTTTTAGGGGAATATCTATATCGTCAAATGGTTTTCTTGCCTTCCGAATGTCATTGTGGTCCGAAATGATTTGATTCTCTCCTGAACAAATCACTAATACCGATAATTCAATTCGCAGGTAAACCATAACGTGCGAGATGTATATATATACAATATGATGAATGGAATGTATACCATCGAAGCGACGAGAGTGGCCCAGTTACTTTTCCTTTAAACATTTTTTTTCTGTTTGATATTCAAATTCGACTTTCCCAGACAATATGCATGAACATGTATTCAAAAACCAATAAAGATAGAATACGATTATAAGCAATAAAATGATACTGTAATAAAACTGTCATGATATTGTAATAAACCAGATTTTGGAAGGAATCCAGATTTTATCAATTATTGCTGCTTCTTGTTTTTAAATAAGTTTTTTTTATAAAAATTATAAACATTTCGTTTATTACGGTTCTTTAATTTCAAACTGTTCTTAAATTGAACATACATGCGAATTTTATAGCAGAAAAAAATAATAAGATAGATAAAAATAGAAAAAAAAAGTTTCTTTAAAATGAATGACATATTTTAAATTAATTTTGAAAAAAAATTATATGCAGTTTGGGAATTATTTTATTGGATATCAAGTCCATTATCAGTATCAAATTCATGCAACAAAATTCGCTTGCTTAATTCATAGATCTCTTTAAAAACAAACACATGAACAATCATTTACATGCGATAAACTAAGGGTTTGGTTTCATCGTTTTAAAAAACACATACGTACCTTTACTTTAATCAAAAACTATGTATTCCTGTTTATAAATGTAAAACTAATTAGGTGTAAATTGACACCTTTCTCGATGAATTTGTTAAGACTGAACAAAACGTAACTATTATCTGAATCATCCATTGTATCTTAATTACAAAAATTACAAATTCTTTCACATTGTAATAGAGCTAAATAAAGACGTCTCTATTGGAACTCTCCTGTTTAAAAGGTGGAAATTGTTGTCGTGGAGTCTTTTTACATTGTCAAGTAAACAGACAGCGATTTCTTATAATACGAAATCTAATTGATTTATACATGTACATGCTTTGTCAAACATTAAGCCAATATTACATTTTAATATGTAATCTTAGCTAAACTTTTGCAGCTAAATTATGCTTATTCTTATTTTCCACAAGATAACTGTAAAATAAATGTACATGCATGTGTCCTTGAACGATTTGCACCAAAACATCAAGGCACGTGACAATGAACTTTATTCTCACTACTGAAAAACAATGCAGAAAAGATAAGATCAGAAATATAGCATGTCTGATGAAGAAGAGATTGCAGAGTATCATAAACCAAGAGAGCCAACTTTCTCAAATATACTGAATTATTATACATATAATAGGCGTGGATCTAGGGAGAGGGATCCAGACCTCCTGGACTTTCCAGAGCTATTTTATAAAATGTACATAATGCAAAAAAAAAAATACTTTTGACTTGAATGTAACCCCCCCCCCTCTAGAAAAAAGTCCTGGATCAATGCCTGTATTTGATAGATTATAAAGCATTTCAACTTTCAGAAGACATGGATTAGATTGAATATGATTTAACACATAACGCAAGAGTTCTTTATAGATACGTTCAGGACATTTAAATAAGTAATAAATTCCATCGCTTTCATTGCAGTTACATAATTTACAAATTTATAATCTGTCGAGAAATTGTTAAATCAGTCTCCTGCTACTCATTCGATCAGCACTTGTTGGTTTTATGACACCACTTGTATGTCATGGATGTAGACATCTATTCCTAAGAATGTATTAAAATCCTACTCATTAGTCTAGTATTAAGACAGCCTTCTCCCCCACCAAGTGCCCCCAATTCTATGTATTTATTTTCTTGGACTTACCTTTTTGTAATAATCACAAACTAGTAAATCCTAGACACATACTAGTAATGAAATATAACTCATCTAAACTATGTATTATTACTTGCAAACGGTACTGATGTTACAAACAGCGATCACTTTAATAAAACATAAGAGACTGATTCAACAAAACAAGCATCCTCTAAATGTTTCCTCTATCATAATGTTTTGTTTATTGATTCGCTTGGTTAGGGAATTCGAAACCCCTTGTGGAAACCCCCTGAGTTTCACAGTTTCAATAGGTAGACTCATTTCCTTTTAAACATAAGAATACATAAGACAAACGGCATACTCTAAGACCTGGCCTGGCCCCTTTGGCCTGGCCTTGCCTTTAAGTTGGCCTGGCCTCTATTTTGGCCTCTAATTTGGCTTCAAACCAAATTTTGACTAGGCCTCAAAAGTTGGCGTGGCCTCAGATTTGGCCTCTGTAAAAATTTGTGGCCTCAATTTTGGCCTCACTCAAAAATAATTTCTTTTTGAAAATTTGATTGATTTAATTGATTTTTAATTGGTATTATTTTTTCAAAGATTAAGCAGGTAAATAATATATTTCTGTTGATATGTAGATGTGATCATTAAAATAATAATACATTACCACCAATGATTTATGTTATTGATTTTCTATTGATCAATTGCAATTCTGAAGACTTAGTAAGATAGTAGGATAGATGATTTCACAAAGTAAAACATTTAGAAACATCAATTTAAATTATCAATAAAACAAAGAAATGCAGATGGGTAGTAATTACCTAAGACATAAAAAGAATGTTAGTTTTGCTCTTTTAAGTATCACTTGTTACATGTTTTATAAACACTTTATTCAGATTTAAAAAAACTATTTTGATAACGTGGACTACTCTTACAAACTGATAGAAAAAGTGTCAGTACTATGATATGCAAGTAATTGGTCA